AACCCAAAACAAGTGGAATGTATTTAATCACCAGATTGCGGATTTGTATGCATTGTATACTAACCGAATGTGTGTTAAATAATCTTAAACATGCGCTAAAAAATGAGCAAAAACGACATTTATTTTCCGAATATTTAATTGAGATAATAAATTCGACAATTATGGAACACTACTAAAAATAGGTATTTTTCTTTAAAACATCTGTGTTTTGTAGCCAGTTTTAAATTTAATCTATCAGAAAAAAAATAATTTCATATACCTATATAATATATTTGGGATAGCCGTTTATACTTACGAGTACTGCATCACCTATTTTTTTATTTCGATATTAATCGAAAATATAAAAATATAATATTTTGTTTTCTATATTACATGTTGCATTAATAATTATTAACAAAAATGTCTAAAAAAACAAAAAAAAACCGAAATATGCATCGAAAGATAAAATATGAAATAAAAAATGAATAGGTAAACGTCAAAATATGTTACCTAGGTCTTGAAACAAATTCTGTGCTCACTGTCTTAGCATCAAGGGGTCTGAAGGGTGGCAAGTAGGGGCCATTGGCCAACCTTGGATTTTTTGGGACAATTATCATAATCATAATGTATTAATGTGATATAAAACATTTCAAATTTTTCATTTTAAAGCAGCTGCTTACAGATTAATAATTAATATTAAGTAATTGGAACAGTCTGGTACTAACCGATTAATAAGTATGGTATGTTGGTATCGGAATAAGTGGTTACTAATAAGATCTGACTTCTTATCGTTATTTTTGGTTGTTTTCTAGTTTATTTATAATTGGTAATTAGCTTATATAGCTTGAAAATTAGACCTAGCAGCACACTAGTGATTGATAATTATTATATATTTGACGTTTTTAGACATAAGTCCTCAAAATATTAAAATTATACTTGGTTGATTTTGCTTTGACATCTATCATAACATTATTATGCAGGAGCTTGAAACATATTTAATTTTATAAATAACCTAAAATTATGAAATCAATGGTGACATTTTATTTATAAAAAAAATGCATTTGTTAATAAATGAAAATGAATGTTGTGGGATTAAGTTTTAATAGTTTTAACTAAGTATATACATATTATAATTCATAAATAATTTTTGCACTCACTGTATGAAAGAAAACATGTCAAAACAATACTTTATCGCTAATCAGATATGGTGAAACAAAAATTAAAAAATGTAAATGTTTTACCCCCCTCGACAAATGCGGACCAGGCATATCAAACGATCGACCAGGATAAATAGGCATAGATCCCTCATCAATCTCTAGACTAATCACTCTACACCAATGAACAGCGTGAAAAATTACAATTTTCTCCCAATTCTATCACAATAATAATATTGTGCGGGGGACCTCGGCCGCTGCCGTTTTGCCATCACTAGCGATCGTCGTTCCGATCGGGTGAAAACAAACGAACGATAAAATCGGTTGGCAAACCGCTCGCAGGCGGATGGCGGGGATAGAGTCGTCGAGAGCGTGTAACGATGACGACAATAATAGTAATAATAAAAATAACGTAAGTATAATAATAATTATAATATTATGTACGCGAAATAAATCAAACTCGCACGCACAACGAAATTGTTCGATTATTATTATTATTATTATTATTACAACGCAGAATATAATAATATTATATTTTCGCCGGCCAAACGGCGCAGTGGCGGCGGCGGCGGCCTTTATTTTATTTTTCTCTCTTCTCGCGGCTGCTCTCGGCGCGAGCTATTATTATTGCTCGCGTCGGCGGCTCTGTGTAAATAATTCAAACTTGTCGAGAAAAAAAAAATAACAAAATGATTCACACACACACACACACCCAACACGTGTATAATAGTATTATAGTGCAAATACTTTTTCACGTGTGTGTGTGTGTGTGTGTGCGTGCGAAAGCAGAACGAAATCTGGCAATCCGTCAGCGGGACCACTCGTTCATCGCATAAACCTTTTTCGCTGCTGCTGTACATTATTATAATGCGATATATTGCTTTGCGACTATAATAATATAATATTATTATAATATCATGCTGGTGTGTGTACAATAACACCTCCCACCCACCTCCCTCTCACCCACGACGACTCGACATTTACGCCCCCGAAAGTGTTACGATACACGTTCCGAAGTCCGTTGATATAGGTAAAGTCTGACAAGCCTGGGAAAGTTGACGATAATTTTCAATTGAGTCAAGTTGATGGAAAACCTTTAAAAAAGTTTAAAGTCATTCGTCATCCTGATTTTGTTTGAACTCGGTTAGGTTAAAAGTTATAGATACCTAGCTATATAGAAACTTACAATAGTTAACTTATCAAGTTATTTCTATTGAACAATTTTGTCACCAATGGAACAAGAATTAAATTAGATCAGATTTTTGATTTCTTATTTTAGTAAATGTTTATGCAATATATGGCATCATCAATAATAATTTGTTTATATTTATTATTTATAAACTAACGTTACTTGGATTTGATTGAAATTTAAAAGTAACTCGTTATTTATACCAATAATAATCAGCTAAGTTAAAGATTAAGCTAATGAAATATGCTTTTTAAAAAGTTAAGATTAACTTAACTTTTTAACTCTTATGCGCAGGCTTCGGTATTGGTATAGATAGTCCGATCTGTAGTCTGACCATATTGACTGCCATATTGTTGTTACAAAAATATTAGGTATATTAAATATGAATATATTGTTTATAATACTTATTAAAATAGTATATTTTTCTAGTTGATATTATCTGCTGGGCTCCGAATCGAACATTTTCCCGAGACAAATCTGCGGAAAGTGTTAAAAATATTAGGTATATTAAATATTAATATATTGTTTATAATACTTATTAAAATAATATATTTTTCTAGTTGATATTATCTGCTGGGCTCCGAATCGAACATTTTCCTGAGACAAATCTGCAAAGAGTGGAGGAGAAAACGTTGGTAATAAAAAGAAAAAACACTTGTTTATAATATGTTAAATACCTATCTCTCGTGATTCATGACTCATAAAATATTTATACATTATTTTATAAAAGGTACGATTAGGTTAGTCGGTTTTGTAGTTATCAAAGATGATGAAGATATTATAATACTTATGACTAAATAATGATTATACTATATACTACTAATACTAAAGTAATACTATACAATTTTAACATAAAATTTAAATTAATAATAACTATTAATAATTACTCATTGGTTTAACAGTTTATTTTACATAATTATACTCGAATGCATAATATAATGTCTGATAAGAAAAAAAATTGTCTGCAGCTCGCACCGCCTGCACTCACAACGTGTAAATCAGGGCACGAACATTGTTACAACGTACTTGGAACAATTTATTTGTTTCGCTCTAGCACGATCAATTTTTTCCTAGGGAATTGCGCGAACACGGGGTGGAAGTGTGGCACTGACACTTGCGAAATACACCCGCGACTTCTCCGATTACCACTTTGAATATATACGGTCTAATGAGGTTAATTCTCGATAGGCCAAGGTTATATATCCTATACTATTCGGTTATACAATGCATTTAATGCTCTTCCAGTAGGACGTATACTGATATGTGTATATTTACTATTAAATCATTTTAATAACTCCAATGTGTAGGCCCTCGTAAACAAAAACACAAAATTTATGTAAATCAGTATCCAGATACGATAATATATAGGTCAGCGCTCCTCAAACTGGGGGCCCCGGCCACGAGGGAGCCGTGGCTGTATGACTAGAGGACCGAGAAATATTTATTTTATCTATGCTATTTTCTCTAGGCCTTAAGCGTCTATGAAAAAAAAGTTTTTTTTCAAAATTACATAAAAAAACATAAATTGACTACACCTAATATTTATCTGTGTGAAATATATTGTCATGTAATTTTAGTACGTCATAATTAAGAAAAAATAGTTGATGATTTTGACCATGGAAGCCTTGACAGTTTTACATAAAATGCAGGGGGCCTCATGACAAAAAAGTTTGAGAAGCACTGATATAGGTAGAAACAAAACAAACAGTAACTGAAACATATAATAAAATGTACAGCACTATATAACAGCTGTTGGGTAACTACATATAGGTAGGTAGGTAAGCACCGCGATTAGAAATAATTGTTGGTAAATTAAAACATGTTATTTAATATTTAACTTTTGCGATGTGGTACACATTCCATACCTACACTATTATATTACATTATCGAACATTGCAAATAATACTAGCGAGCTACATGTTACCCTTTCGGCATAAGCTCCTGGCTTTTGAATGGGAATAAACGACCACCTTTTTTTGTTTTCTTATATTTTTTACATATAAGAACCTATATACGCGCATCATATTATTATTGTTGTGTTGTTTGATTCAGACAATTAAGTGAATAATAATATAGGTATCGCCATCGCTAATAAACCGTCATAAACAATAATTATTATTATTGCGTAAACATTAGGTAGGCACCTATATACATATTTTATACTATGATAATACCACCTACTCGTAATAATATAATATTATAATATTATTATTTTATGCGTACGACCGCTAAACGCTAATATAATGTTATTCGCCGATGTGCATAACACGAAATACGATATTATTACAATATTAACAATATTATTAAAATGTGCATCGTAAACATCACGAGGCGAGGCAGTCGTCGGTCGCGTCTCGTTCGGGCGGTGTACTGCATTATTATGTTATGTTAAATTGTTCTAATTTTTCGTCCAACTATTATATTAATATTAATATGGGCTATAATCTTATTTTTCATTCATCGAAGTGAAATTACTTCACAGGTGACAGCAGACCGTTTGACACCAATTATTATTATTTTAACGCTCAGCGTAAATCAAATTAGTGTTATTTATTTTATTTATTCTAGATAATAATGTATACCTACTGTATACATGATACTGATATAATTATAATATTTACTTATTATAATATTCTAATCGAACTTTGATAGTCAAAGTCAAACATTCATTTGAGTGTTCACTACTGCTGTCGCACTGACACACCACACATGTGTTTAATGTTTATTTTATTACAGCGACATGTTATTATAGTGTTTCTGCGTGTTCGCAGGTGTGACCGCGTCCTGCTGTGACGATTTTCGCCGGATTTTCCGATCAAAAAGTTCACCACCACCCCACCGCCACCTGCCGATTTCCAGGATTGCCGTCCGTACCTATACGCTGCACGGACAACGGCCGTCTGATTCGCGAACCGATATAGGTAGGTACCTACGTAGGTTTTTGGAAAGTGGGAAGAAAGGGGTAGGTCGTAGGTGGCTACTCTATAATTTGATAATATTATTATGATCGATAGAGGACGTGGCTGGCGATAAGGGCTCAAAGCGTTTCGTACCTGTACATTAATAGCCGTTTGGAAGTCGTGGCCACAACGTCATAATCGTAATAATAACAACATTATTATTACTATTATTATTGTTATTATTGTTATTATTGCCATCGTGCCTTTATATCCGTATTATTATATAGCGTCCTGTATATGCACACCTTTCTACCTATATAATATTCTTACTATTATTATTATTATGTATGTAAATACTAAATTGTAAGTACATAATAATAATAATACCATGTCGTATGTCTTTGTATAAACGCCACCGCCGCTCGTGCGTGCACAGATACCGCTTTCACGTCGTCGACTTAACCCTTTTTTTTCCCTCCCCTACCAGCCGCCGCCTCCTCCGTCACCGAGGTCTCCGCACGGGCGCCTACTATATTCCTTTGACCCTGCCGCCGCCGCCGCCGCCGACGACAACGAGTCGTGCTCGGCGCGAACCAGAACATTTTAATCAATAACAAGATAAGGTGTTGTCCGCGCCGCTATCACGTAGAGTCGACGACGACGACGACGACGACGACGAATCACAGAATTCTGTGACGGATCTCGTGGTGATAAAACCGCCGCCGCCGCTTAATATCAATTGTAATTATCAATATCGTGATAAACGGTTGTTGTCATAGGCAATAATAATAATAATAATAATAATATTATTATTGTTATGGCCATCATTGATAATAACAATAATATTTGAATCATTGTTTTAGTCGTCTTCAGACCACCACCGCCGCGGTCGCGGTCGGTGACGTCGGGCGATTAACCGTCGTCGTCGGCGGTTGCGCCGACCACAGGAGCTGCTGCCGCCGCCGCCGAGTGCCGAAGAATCGCAGGCCAAACGACGACGGCGATAATATCGTTCGTAGTGTCTTAGCGCCTCCGCGTACGCAATACGGGAAGTGAGCGACGTCGACTTTGCAGGCGTCGCGGGACGCACACGAGCGCGGGCGCGCACGCGCGAGAGGTGTGCGCTGGGCGAATGTCGCGTGCCGCCGCCACCGTCGATAGTGATAATGCACCGCGGGTTTTGAGAGGTTCTCCGCCGCAGACGACGATCGGATGATGATCAGTTCGTGTCGCCGCCACGACGGTAATAATAACAATTGTGACCATTGCTGTTGTTGTTGATATTGCGAAACACCGTCGTCCATCGGCGAAATGAACACACCAGTCGGCTGCTGCCGTCTCCGCCGCCGTCGGTCTGTCGTCGTCGTTCGCGCCCTCGCGTCTCGGTCCGGGTCCGCTGCAGGTGGCGATCAGGACCAGTGATGTCAAACGCCAGAAAAACCAAGTTCGTGACCGTCAACGACTACACCTAAGTCAGTCCCCATGGTGGTGGCCGACAGCGCCATGTTGTCGTCGACAGCCAAGGAGGAGCTGCTGTCGTCCGCGGCGGACGTTTACCAGCCCCACGTCAACGTGGACGGTATACCGCCACTGCCGACAGCACTCGGGCCACCGTCTGCGTTCCCCGGCAGTCCCTTGACGGCCAAGAAGCAGGCTCTCAAGTCTTTCGGCGAAATCCAGAACCTCCTCGCTGCGGGCTTCCAGAAGGACGTCAAGAAAATTCTCCGTGACAACTGCTGGCCGACCAACCATCCTATCAGGGCTCAACTATGGCCAGCGCTTTGCAGACAACACGCGTCTGACAACAGCAACAACATGCAAGAGGGATTCTACTGGGATCTTGTACGACAATTGTTTGGGTCTACTGGTAAGAAGTTTATCATGGTTTTTCTTAAATTATCTTATTTTTCCACCCATTTCTAAAACTTAGACATTACCTAAAGAAATTAATTACTTATGGGCACTTCTTGTTTAAAAATGTATTGCTGAGAAATTTGTTTTGTATAAATCTTTATTTAGGTCTATTTTTTTTTGATAATAATTAAGAATTTTCAATTAGAAATGTTTCCATTTTTACCAAATATATATCTTACTTTAAAAAACTGTAAAAATAAATTATGTAGGTTCAGAATTTGATATTTTTATGAGATATTTCAATTATTTTATTCGTAGAGGTGCACAATATTTTATTGTCATATGCTTTGTTAAACACTGATCAGGGATACCTACTAAATCTTTTGTTTTCTGTGATCATTCAAATTACCTACTTATTTTTCTTTTTAAACAAAACACAATAATATAATATGTAATAACCTCCTGCACCTGCTTATTGTTCACTGTTCTATTACCTACAAAATTAATGTTTTTCACCTGATTTAATATATTTAATTTAAAAAAAAAAACAATTCTATTGATATTTGAAAGAGTCAATATTTAAAAACTGATTTAAAATAGTTGGTGGTAGGTAGGTACCTTTTTTAAGATTAAGTTGTGAATTCAAGCTTTTATTTTTGAAAATAATTTAAACGTTCTTTGCATTTTATTAGATCTTCCAGATAAACCAATTATTTTACCGACATTTGTTGAGTCAAAACACAGACATTTACATCATCTTGATTCAACAGGCAAGAATATTACTGACAGAATTGTTTGCGTGCTGGGGTTTGCTTGTCCAGACATCACTTATAGCCCTGCTATATACTCGTTAACATCATTGCTGCTACATTTTATGCCTGGTTTGAATTTAATATTATAATTATTTTAATAACATACTTTACCTAAGAAACTATCTTTAAATTTGTTTTTTGTATTTTGTATTTTGTATTTTTTTTTTTTAGAAGAGGAATGCTATAATAGTCTAACAAGCTTAGTTTCGTCCAAGAACTTAGTATTTGTAACACAAACAAAATTATTATATGAAGTTACATGGAAAACTGTATTAAATATATGTAGAAAACATGTTGTGCGTACCTACATTTTATCAAACTATAAATATTATAATAGGTTTTTTTTTAATTTATAAAATAATACCTTTTTAGAAATCTGCTGCAGGGCACATTGGGAAACATTGTCCAGTAAAAAAATCAGAAAAAATGTACATGGATTGGATTTGGTGGATATTTCAAGGACTACCATTTCATCATGCAGTTAGTTAGATATAATAAAGTTGTATCTTTAAGGTATATTATGCTAAGAAACATATAATATTTTGATTTTAGGTTCGTGTAATGGATTGTTATCTTCACGAAGGCATTAAAGTGTTATATCGTATGGCAATGGCTATCTTGCAACTTTTTTACAAATACTCAACTACAAGTAATTCTATTTGGGCCGAAGAAATAAATAGTCATGGAGTAGACGTGGCTTTGATGAATTTTTGCCGTCAAATGCCGGTACCTAATTAAAATATACATTGTCTTAAATTAGACTAAATAAATAATAGCTATGATTTATATATTAATTATTTTATTTTAGGCAAATCCACAAAAAATGCTTAAAACGGCATTTAAAATTCGAGGTCTTAGTTCAGCATACATTCATAGAGTTTTTGTGAAAACTGAGATGATATTGAAGAGTAAAGTTGTTTTATCTGGTTCCAATAAATTAAACCGTTCCTGTTCTAGTGAAAATTTACCTACTAGTCAATCTCAAATGAATATTCAGATGGCCTCTCATACACTTACTATTCGCGAGGTAAGTTGTATAATACCATATAATTTAGTAAGTGTGCTTAGTGAAATAACAGTAAGATAATAATCTTATAATTGCTGATAATGTCTGAACAGTGAACAGTTATTATTTTTTATACCTAAAAAATAAAATACCTAAATAACTTAAGTACTTATATTTTTCTTCAATTTTTATGAATATTGTTAGCCATTTGTTTAACTTATTCACTCAATTTTAGCAATGTCTCAATACATCATTAATCTATTTGCAATTTTCAAACTCTTCTATGGTTTAATATTGAGATAACAACTTTAAGTTACTTAGATTTAGTTGCGTTTTGTGTTGTTGTCTTAACCTCTTGAATTTTTAGCTCTAATCCGACTGGGGATTATTTAACTTTCAGCAATCATAATTATAGTTAATATACTTTTGCAGTACAAATTATATTACAATGTTGTCATAATGCAATTTTTAATGTATGAATTACTACTGAAATCACAAACTACTCAAGCAGACATATTTTTGGAAATGAATCTTATAACCAGGTCTTGTAAGCTTATGCATTTGCATATCTATATTGACAAGTCATATTAAACAATAGGTAAAATAATCGATTTAAGGTGACAGGAAGACATCCTGTCAATGTATACAATTTCAATTTGTATATAATTATATATTTCTAAGTTTTTGGCATAATCATATATTTTTTCATAACTAAAATGCATTTAAAATTTTTAAAAATTTTTTTTAACACTGTTAAAATAATTTTGATGTAAGTAAGCACCATTCTTCTAAATGTGAACCTAAAACAAAATAAGTTCAAAAACATCAGTTTTCAGAATTCAATCAATATTTAGACAGTTAAATGATTAAAATAATTTACCACCCATCTAATCTAATAAAATTAAAATCAAAATCATGAACAAAAAAAAATTTATTTATTTATGAAAGTTTGAAATACTGGGATGTAATCAAGTAGATATTGATCGAGGCATTATTTATAAACTATAAAAGCTAATTGATATATTTTTTCATCATGAGTATTTAGTATTTATTGTAATCAAAGGTTTTTTACTGCAGTTTTTAGAGCATAGTTACATGCATATTCGAATGTTTTTTAGAGTATAAAGAGGTCATAAAGATAAAAATTAAAGAAGTAAACAAAATATAACCAACTTAATCCAAAATAATTATATACTTACCATATAGCCATACTTCTACATTTTGTTGTATTCATCCTGTTTTAGTTTTTAAGTTTGTTATTGTTAAATATCTATTCTATTGTTAAATCAATTTTATATAATATACATCTTACATAATAATATGTATGTAAAAAAAATTAAGCTACAGGTCCAAAGCTACATGATTTATCCAATATTTTTAAATATAAGTAAACAAACCAATCCCAAACATCCATTCTATGTATCTGAATTATTACCAACTGACCAATCAAAGTCAATTTGATTATTAATTTAGTATAGCTAACCTTTATTATATTTTCAAAATATCATTCGGATTATAATTTTCTTGTAGTTGCTCGTCTAATAAGATTCTAAATATTTAGTTTCAATAAAAAAATATTAATTTCACTATTTTTACTAAAAAATTATACATTATAAATTCCATAAATAATAGGGATTATAATATACTGTGATCGGGGCTATTCCAAACGGAGGTTCTAGGATGTGTCCCCCTCCCAAGCATACAATATGTATATGTCAGTTGGCACAGTGATGTATTAAGTATTTGAGTTGGTCCTCGGAAAATTATAATTTTTTTTTTACAATTTTTAAATAAATTATGTAAATATTACAAAGTACAAATATGTCATAATAAAATATTGTAATATATAAAATATGAAGAAATATAAGTTAATTTTCTATTGCCAATTGTTCAACACAAATACTATAATAATATTTAAGTACCTAACATTGTATATATTATATAATATTATAACAGTATACAAATTTGCCTATATGAGTACATTCGTTTAATCATTGAATTATTTTTAATAATACTGTTATGATAACTGATGAGAAATTGTTGTGCGCTGACGACTGTAATTTCTATTTATAGAAGTAATTCAAATAATTTATGTTGACTCGTCTTACCTAGACATTGACTAAGTGATAAGATTCTAAAATTGTTTCACTTATATTATATAGTCAGCATTGACAGTATTTACCATTTAATTAATATTGTTATTGAATATTTGTTTATTTTGTCATTTGTGTCATTATATATTTCAATCATTCCATAATAGTAGAACTAATATGCAACGGTGCTATACATTTTGCTGTTGAAAATATTTTATTCTAATATTCTAGACGAGATGTGATGAAAAATATATTATAAAAGATAGTAAAATAGAGAACAGGATAAAATATTTTATACTTTATAATATGGTATAAAATATGTCATTTAGTGTCTACCGATTACTATGCATGTAGCAATGTAGGTAGGAGATAGTTGTTAAGCGATGCGAGAAAATCTTTTTGAATTGGCACATTAATGCATCTTACCCCCCCCCCCCTTTATTTCGTTCGGGATGGCCCTGGCTGTGATTGGCTCTAAAGAAAGTATTGTGTTTGATAGTATAACTATTTTAAGTCGATTTGTATTATTGAATCTAATGATTTTTATAGTTGTCTGTTAGTCTTAAAATGTATGAATTAAATACAAAACATACAATCCGGTGATTAAAATCTTCAAATGATAGTGAATCATACTTGCATTTTATCAATAACATAACATTTGGTAATAAACTTGTATGTGTTATGCTGACATTCAGGGAGAACATTCACCAAGCCCTCGTGCTTCCACGATGGCCAGTTATCCAATTAACAATATCAGATCTTTGATAGCTAATCATCAGGATGTAAGTTTACTATCCAAACTGCAGCTGAATCGAGATATTTAAAAATATTTTATTTATTTATTTTTGCAGAACGTTTGAACTTAATTTATATTTTTTTATCCAAGCTTTATTCTGTATATTTTTTGAGTACATGCAACTAGCTTATATTTTATAATTATGTTTTTAGAAATCTAGAAAATAGATCTAGAGTGCCCTAGTTATACATTATAGTTTAATTTTTTTAATTTTAATTTTGCAAGATTAATTCCAGTGTTGTTAATCAATTGTTTTAGTAATATTAGAATATATATATTAGACAATGAGTGTTATCTATGTATATGTTTACACAGACCAACTACTTAAGTAATCACTGTATATAGATAAATTTACAATTTTTATTTAATCATCATAAGTGCACATTAGACAATAATAATTGAAGTATGTTATAAATGAATTTAGATTTATTTATAAACACTAATATAACAACTTATCATTTGAAAAATAAATTATTGCATCTGATATTTGTTCAGGGGTTAAGTATGTTAACAATTGTTTGTTAAGGCATTAACTTTATTAATGCATAGCAGCTGAAGTTTATCTTTCGGTAGTGTTTCAGATACATTTTTTATTATTGAGGTTTGGATTTTGTAGCAACATAAATAGTTAAAAAAAAATATTTATTTAATTTAGGCTTAATCTATTAGGGAAATACTTATATATTTTTATACATTCAAAATTATTTTTCTACATCAACTGATGATATGAAAGCAAGTTTCTTGTAAGCTAAATGGCTTAATATTTGACGCATTGCTTTACTGCCATTATGAGTGTTACTGATATTTTCCACCTATATCACTCTGCTAAAACTACATTGCTGGTACTTCGTTTAACTACTTTTTATCTGCCATCTACCTATCATGTTTTGAAGATGTAAATTATTAGTTATTTCTGACAACAATATAGAAGTCTAATGTAATACAATTATAAAAATATATAAAATGTAGAATACGTAATGGGGAAAAAACACATTTATGGGGAAAAGCAAAATAAAGTTAACTTATGATTTCAATTAATTTTATAATCATAATTTTAAATTAACTTTATGATCAGAATGATTTGAAGTACATTTATACATAAAAAATTGTCTGTTACATTTATTTCCAACCAATATTTGCTACAAATACTGCCTTAGTGATTTAATCTTTTCAGTCCCCACATCTATTTTTCATTGCATTTTTTAGGTTTAATGTTTTGTATATTTTTTTTCTAATTGTTCTACATTACTTGATAAACAAAGCGAAATTAGGTGGCTACAACATCCATATTTGTATTAATTACATCTTTATGAAAACTAAGGTTAATTCAAAATAATCGTTGTTTTATTTTTTTTATTGGCTGCATCCATAATTTTAGCATTTAACTAACTATATGTTAAAAATATAATTTTATTCAATGCGATTTGTATGAAATAAAATTGGATTTTAGTAAGTTGTATACATTTTAAATATTGTATTCATGCATGAGTTATGTCTACAAGTTATTTAAACTACCGAAAGAGCAAGTATTATTTAGCAATTTTATTATTAGTTGTACAAAATGTATTCTATTTTAGTATTAAATTAAATAATATATCATATTGTACATTATTAGAAAAAAATCAAGGCTTGTAACCTGAATTATTTATATCACAACATGTTAATATTTTGTTGTTTAAAATTGTTTTGGTTTATCATAACGGAAAACTTCGATTCTGTTTATTGCATCATATTACACTGCCAATCTCCAAGATATTCAATTGGTACAATACATAACAACATCAACATTTTTAGTGAACAATTTGTTTAAAACTTCTACAGTTATTTTTCTGATAAACATAGCATTTTTTTCCCTAAAATATTGGGGTATAAACTATGTATAATATTATTTGTTACTTTTTTATTTTGTGTGTTATTAAAAAAAAAAACAAAAAAAAATGTTTCTGACATTTTAGTGGATTTGGAGCCAACATTTTAATTGTGTTCTGATTTCTGATTTCACCAATTCAAGTTTTGTTCATGTTCTTAATGGTTTTACAAATGTATTACATCTATATGGTTACACGCCTTGAATTGAATACTTAATATATAAAATTGCTTAAATTTAATGATAAGCTCATATAAATGTTTTTATTAATTAATTTCAGCTTTTTACACTATGGTCTTGGTTGCCAGTAAGGATAACAATGTATCAACCAATACTTCTTTACACAACTGAAGAGCATGGCTGTAGCTTGACTACATTCTATGTTAGAGTTGAACACCATGAACCAACACTTCTACTAATAAAAACTTGCAATAATGAAGTATAAAATAATATATCTACATACTTTAATTTAGTGCACTGTTTAACAATTCTCTTGTATTCCATTTTTATTTTAGGTTTTTGGTGCATATTGTTCTTCTAAGTGGATCGAGAGAAACAAAAAGGATGATCGTGGAAATAGACAAGCTTATTTTGGTACTGGTGAGACATTCATATTCAGTCTATATCCGGGTAAGGCAAAATACCCATGGGTTGGTATGGAAGTTGATAATGTACATCATGCCAATGAGCTGTTTATGGCAGCTGATCAAAAAATGATAACCATCGGCGGAGGGTAAAGTTTTTGATTAATTATTCCATTTGCATACTAGTTTTAAGTTTGCTTTGATTATTTTGAATGTTTATGTTCTTTTTAATACAGTGACGGTCAAGCAATATGGATGGATGAAAACGTCCGATATGGAAAAACAGAGGGTTGTTCTACATTCAACAACCCACCATTGTGTAAAAGTCGGGATTTTGAAATAAAAGTTTTGGAAGTCTATGGTTTTGATGGAGTGTAAGTAGTTTTTAAAAATAACATGAATATATAAAAATTATTAAAAATTACTGTTTAAAAACTATGCCAGAGGGGCTGCAGATCAACTATGTCCAACCAAAATTGCTAAGAATATTATTTAATTAAAATATAATAATATTGGTATAATCATATATTATTATATCAGTAGAATGTTAAATATTATTTTCTAATACATAATTAACAATAATTTTATTTTTAGGATTCTTTAAAGCAAGTGGCAATTCAACTCAAAAGTGACAAGTCTACTAGTCATATATTTTTTTTTTATACCCGTGGTTACTTAATTAGTAAGTTAGAATAAGTAATTTTTGTAATACAAAATTCACGACAATTACAGAATTTTTGTTCCTGGATTTTGATACTAGGTACTTACTACATAGTTAATAATTATAACATGTTTTGAGGTTGCATGAGTACTTGAATTTAACTAACAAATTAGATCCAAGTTTGAATTATTTTTTGATTAATGAGTACTCGGGTATGCAAAATAGCTCTAGTACTTAAAGTTCTAGTACAAAATTTTTTAAACATATTTAAGTATTTCAATTATTAAAATATTATTATCATAATATGATATGGTATATATTTTTTTATTGCAATATAATAATAATAACACCTTAAGTATTCATTGCTCGACGTAGAGTTGGGCTTATTAAACTTTTCATAAACAATTGTCTGTTCCTGCATATTGAGTACCGTAATTCACTCTAAATTTTAAAATATGAGTGTGCAACTTGAATATTTATAAAATGTTATTCTATTGTCATATTAGTGATAAATACAGCCTGTTTCAAAAACTAAAAGCTTAATAATTAGATCAAAATAATGCGTTTGATCTATAATCATCAATATATTACATTGTTGTAACAGAACTTTATCCAAAAATAATTTATTATGGATTTCAAAATTGATTGACATGTTCATAATTTAATGATGGAGATAATAATGTGTAAGTAACTTATACGTTACTAAAACAAAAAATTCCATTGGATTATTTTAATTCAGCCATATGTCTTGCGTTATAATGTCTCTAAATGTGTTCAACAGTTTTTAATCCTAGTTTTAAGAAATATGTTTGCCCACATAATTGAGTAGAAATTTAATTAATCTTATAATATGTTCCTGAATAAATTCTTTTTGGCATTTATATTCATTACAGGCTGTATATAAAAAAGTTTAGTCAGTAAAAATTATTTAAATTAATTGCTTATGTTCAAACTAAAAAGTGTACTTAATTATTACTAAGAGTATGTGTGTATTTTGTTAATATTGACGCAACAGAAAATTATGGATTAGTGTTAAACTACTTGTATGCCTCTAACTATTATTAACTTTTAAAACAAGAATCATTATTTTCTGTTGGATATAATACATATAATTAACGTATTATTGGTATCGGAACAACATATAAATCACCACTTATTAATTTTTACATTTAATTAATACAATTTCATGATTCCTATTAAATTTTTTAAGGTTCATCTTTCATCTAAATATATTTTTAAAAATATAATATAAATTTGAAACTGGTTTATAAATGTTCAAAAATATTCTTTCATTTTATCAAAAAATATATAAAAGAGATCTATTACATGTATTGGTGATTTATCAAACATATTGGGTCGATACTAATACTAGGCGCGGATTCAAGGGGACATGCCCCCCCCCCACCGTAGACTCTGGCAAATTTTCTATTATATCTATTTTCGGTAGCCAATAAAAAATGCATTGTTTCGGCTGTATCCGTTTTTATCGGTCGCTGTCAAAAATCTAATCTAAGCTAAACTGGGATTTAAATAAAAATATTTACCTATTATCTTACATAGTATGTACAATGTTTCTATCAGACTTAAGCTGAAATTTTATTTAAAATGCTCTCCCCCCGCCCCCCGTAAATATGTTCTAGATCCGCGCCTGACTAATACTAATACCTATATTTGATCACTTATGTGTTGATTATGGGCATATGATATACATATTGGCATGTGAAGCATTTTTAATCTATTTCTTTGAGTAAATTATACAAAATTACAAAGTGCTTTTTCAAATTTACCATTTCATTAGTTTAAAATGTTAAATACTGTGTTCACTAGTTTTACGATTCAGTTGAATTTCTGGTTTGAGTAATTAAACATTAGAATAAATTTGATTTTAAACTATTCATTTAAGATTCGACCAGTACATAATAAACAAGTTCATATTTATTGCATTATTTATACATTTTATATACGTTGTAGAACCGGTTTTGAACAAAATTTTATTCGGCATAGGCTGTTTAGTGTAGGCATATAAGTGTGATCTTATTCTAATATTACTATACCATTTGTTACTAAATATCAAAAGTTTGTTTTCTTTTTTTTTTAATATTACATATTATATAATATATTAGGCATTATTGTTTGCTCGGCTATTTTGTTGTTACCAAGTTAATTCCAATATTATATTTATACATCAATATCATAAAGGATAAAATAGTGTGTTTGAAATATCATGTTAGATTGTGATATAATTTGTGTTGAGTGTGAAAAAAATATACTACTTATGTTGTAAAATTGCATTTTGCATATTATATTAAATTATTATTATTATTATTATTATTATACGCTTAGACTGCTATACTCATAGACTAGTGATGTATACTATTCAATACCTATATCATATATTATATTCATTATAGTTGACATTATTTAATTACTATAATACATAGTAGATATTCTCTAATTTTTCCATTGAGCTTTTTAGTTGTTTTAAGTATACATACTTGTTGACAAGAGCATTTTATGCGCACTCTCATGTCGGTTTTATTTATATGTTGATTAATTTTGTTAAGTTTTTTTTGTTAAGTATATACACCTATAGCTTTATAATATTGTGTTTAATCGTTAAACATTTATGACATGTATACCTTTGTTATTTTATTTTTGTGTGAAATATGTTCAGTCTCCGGTAAAATTGACGCAACACAACCTCCACCTTTTTACATTCAAAACTTTTATATACGTTTTGTTATAACTATAATTAAGACTACAATATCATATGAACTATTATTTTGATATGAAAAAAAATGTTGGATACCTATAACACAATTTAACAATTCAACTTTGTTGCGACTTCTTTACCAGAGACTTCCATTAGTTCCAACCATATTGTTATAATATGTACAGTAGGAAAATTTATAAAATGTGTTTTTTATTACTATTATTATTATTATTATTATTATTTTTAATATTATTATTGTTTTTGAAGTCTAGTCGAGTCCTTAAGTGGCGCGTCTTTTTTAATTCCGCCCATTTTATTATACCCCTCTCAGCAATGCAATGTTGTTACCTTTTAATTGTTTTATATATCGTCGCCATCTGTGATAACATCCATATTATAATATATTATGTTTCTCCCCTCCAGTCGACCCCTATTTTTAAATGCAAGTTTTTACCATGTTTATTCAATTTTCTTACAGTGAGTAGGCTTTACTCAATTTTGGATGTATAACGCATTCTAGTGAACGCTACAAATGTGTTATGTGTGTCCATCCAGTAAGTGCCGAACAGATTTTTATTATATACCTCTCCCCACCATTGACCAACTGTTATACGCGTCATTGCTGTTTATTTCATATTGCTATACTTAGCATCTTACTGTACATTTTTGTTACAATTCACTATGTTATTAATATTATATTATATTGATTCGAAAAGATGATAATTTTGTTGTTTTTTTTTTTTTAGTTATTTGTTACCAATTTAGTATTATTATAGACATTTTAATACCTTTATACGCATACATAATAATATAGTATCTGTACATAACATTAGGCTGTGTACTTTTTGAAATGTGTGAGTTAGACCACAATGTATTCGAACTAAATAAAAATTAAATTTTGATTAACAGTATATTCATCATATATTACAATGTTCTTTATTAAAAAAAAAAAAAAATAGTTCCTATTATTTAGCAGTCCCGATGAGTAGTATTAAATAGCTGTTTGAACTATTTGTGTTTGTCGTTAAAAATGTACTAGTTTGATTAAAAGGACAAAAATAAAATAACTGCTAATGTATAATAATACATAAATGTCATATTAAGACCATATCAGTGCATTGTTTTTTGTTTTCTAAATAGACAGTCTAGACCATGTTGTAGAACCATTTTTGTGCTCTAAGTCAGGCTTCAGAGACTTACGAAGGGAAGGGGATAGCTACTCTACATTACAGAGAGACCTTAGAGAATATCCTTACCTAAAATGTAGGTTTGTCAATAACTAATCTATTATACTCACACATGGTTATACTAACCAGACCTTCTGTAGGCCATGAACATAACACACACAATAATTTGTTGGGCTAAACTCAAATTTACTATATTGTGGGTGAGTTAGAGACAAAGGGGGGGGGGCATTAATTTGTCAAAAAGTTCATTAAATATTAATTTTTCAAACTTATTAACTTATTAAAATTCAGTTTAAAATTGTTATTTTTGTAATTTAACTTTTTATAGACAAATATCATTAACGTGCAGTTAAGTTAATTTTCTTTTTGTATCATACGGGACTAACAGACATTATTTAATATTTATTTATTGATTTTTTTTCGATTTTAGTTATTTATTTTTCAATAATCTATCATAATAATTTGATGTTTACAGTGTTAAATGTCTTATTAAATGTTTGTATAAATTAAAAGATTAGGACATTTTATGACTAAAAAGTATTATATACCTATATGAAAAATATTAAGTAAATATTAAGTTTGAAAAAGTTAACTTATTTTGAACTGAGTTAAGTTTATTTTACTATCCATCTTAACTTAAAACTTATCAAGTTAAATATTTTCTCTGTTAACTATTAACTTTAACTAAATTCAATTTAATTGAATTAACTTAACTTGTAGTATACAGTTAATTATTTTCGTGAACTTGCCCAACCTTGGTTGGAGACAATGCACCTACATCTTACATCCTCTTAAGGGGATGAAGTTTGTGTTTTCTACCTAAATTTTATCCATGACAACTATTCTAGTCATCGGATAAAATTTCTATAACATAATATTAGAACTTTTCATAGAGCATAGTCGATATGTATCATTTGATTACTTGAAAACAACTTTTCCAAATTTTTTGAACTTTTGTAATAATAAATAATATTGTATAATGTGCATATATGTTAAAGAGTTCATCCGGTGTATTTAATAAAAATAAAATATTCAAATGTTTATAATATTGCTGAACAAAAATAAATAAAAAATTCAAGAAAGTTGTTTTTTAATAGGTACTACCCAAGTTTTATGACAGATTCATTTTTTTCCCTTAATCTTATAAAATTTAATTTTAGCTAAAAATTTGTTCCTTGCTCCTTCGATTCAGAATATACTAATTTTATTTTGAATTTGTTTGTTTTTTAATGTATTTTTTATGTATTGTTACATTTTTCATACTATAGTACGTTCACACTTTTAAAAGCATTTTATGTGTTTTTTAGGTAGTCAACATCCTATCTCTTATGATCACTTACTGGTTACTTACTACCCACGCACTCATTTACACAACCCACACTCATGTCGATACTTGGAAATAATTTCCCTACATCAAACTCCTTAAAATCTGTTAGTATCGAATCTAATCGAAAATCATAATACAACTAAATCAATATTGAGCTAAATTATAAAAATAATAATATATTTATATTATTTTAAATTTCAATCACATAGAAAAAACTATCGATATGTGAAATTAAAATTAAAATCAACATTTTTTATTATGATTGTTGATTTCATGCCCTTCCCTAAAATTCATCACTGTAGATTAAAGAATAATTTATTTTTATACTATTGTAATTATTAATTTCTCAATGTATAAAGTTCACTAAATGCAATTTTTGTTTCATTATTTATTCTATGCTTGTATTATTAACAAAAAAAACATTGTTTTAACAACTTAATACAGGTACCTAAATTATTGAATTTATTTCGGTATTCCTCAAGATCAATCTTCATTAAAAAAATAATTTTTTGACAATTATAGTCACCTCCTCGTGAAGTCCTTATTGTTAAATGAACACCATAAAAATAGTATTACTTACTCAATTTACATTTTTTTTCAATTCGTTGGGCGCAATGTAGGTACGTTTATCCAAACACTTTTCATCGATAATATTTGAAAAAAATCGGCATTCTTTCATGCTTATAATAAATAGGTGTGTACCTCAAAAGCTCAATGAGAGTCAAAACATTTTGAAAACTATATCATGATTCATGACGTATAGAAATTAATAGAATGAACATTGCACAAAAAAAATCAAGTTTTTATTGATTATTCGTTTTTGAATAATTACCACAACAGTATTTCAAAAAATAGATTGAGGAGAAATAGTTAATCCTTAACGGGTGGATACTCGAATTCGTTAAAGTTTGAACTTCAACCGCTCATAGAAAATCAATGCTGTGACTTACTGGCGAAACTTTTTTTGTTGTTGCTATGAATAGATAACTTATGATTAACCTTGTTATTAATCTATTTGAAACTCAGATAGGTATGAAAAAAAACATTTTTTACAAATATCTAAACGATACGATATAATTTACACATTTTCGAGAGATTTTGACAAATTTTGTTAAGACTCGAAGCTAAAACTTAAAACTTTAAATTTATGAACTATGATGACCGTGTATTCTAGTTTTTTTTTTTAAATTCATATGTACAATTAGTATAACATTTTCAATATTTTTTATCTTTTATTATTGAAAAGAAGTGGGGATAACAAAAAACTCAGCATGGTACTCGCTGGGACTTTCGCTTCAGGGGAAATTTATGAACCATAATTATTATGTAGTGTTTTTAACGAATATTGAAAAATATCGTATAAATTATAAGTTAATTTTTTACCTAATTGCAAATAGTCAAAAAATGAAGTCAAATAAAACATAATTTTAACTAAATTAATTATTAATTGTGAATCGATCAAATTCCTTAAGTCATTAAGTTTCCCTTCTCCGAACACTTTCCGGTATCTAGAACTATAATTCATAATTTCTGAAATATAAATCTACGTTTAAGCTAAGAATTGAGAGAAATTGTCGATGAGTAAACAAGCTATAAATACTCTACTTTATTTGTCATTAGATTGTATAAATTTAGTACGAATTCTTGACAACGAAAACCTTACGAAAAATCGGTCGGGAACAAAACATCTTGCATTCAGCCCGCCAACATATTATTTTTGTTAAAAAGTCGAAATTTGCTCATGCCTATAAAGATAGGTATAGTAACCTCAAAATGAGTCGAAAGGTACATTTTGAAAATGTCGTGTATTGGTAAAATCTTAATATTAATAGGACCATAGTTCGGTTTTGAAGACAATATAAACAATAAAAAAAAGCACTTAAAATGTGAAAAGGCTAAATGCATAATTTATATAAAACAGTTTGTAGTTTTACCAAGTGCAATAGATTTATGTTAAATTTGACTAGTTTGTTATTAAAAAAAACAATTAACCATTATACATTTACATAAATTTTTTTCAAAAAATCCTTTAACGGTTTGGGCTTAAAATATTTTAAGAGAATGATCATTCTACGTCCATCGACGTTATTGGAGCGTATTTCAAACATGAATAATAATCTAAACTAACCTTACATAAGACATTAGACTATCAGATGAATGACAGTAAAAAAAGCAAAATACATTAATAAGTAAAGAGCAAAATGACAACAAACAATATCTTTTATCTTAGATATCAAATGGTGGACAATTTAATAAAAAAAAAAAAAGGTCTTTGCCTTCAAATCTGAGCCCTAATTATAACATTTAGCTAAAATTTCAACTGCACACGTGGCTGCGAACGCTGTACATAAGGTGTCTAGAAAGTCGCTGTAATGGATGGTATTAAATTTGAATTCAACTGTTTAATATCATTATACATTTATACCTTTACAAAAAACAATTCTGAGCGGAGAAATCCCGTAAAAATTAGGTAGACAAACTTATAAGGGAACTCGTATTACATTTTTAAATCTCGGTTATTAATAGAAATATTTTCATGAATTTCTAACTCAAAATAATTGAGAGAATTAAGGAAACTTTCGGGATTTCCCACAGACGTATTCCACCAATCTAAACAATATTTCTTTATCATTAAACAATTAATTTTTTCATATTTTATTGTGTTGAACCAATTAAAAATAAAACAATTTTTAGTTGATAGCTATTAAAATTATAAAATAATATATTCGTTTATTTTAATGACGATTTATTTAATATCAATAAATATGTGCGGTTTTGAACGACCAATTTTTTTCAGAAAAATCAATGATTTTGCTATAAAATTTTAATTTTTGTTCGACTTCGCTAATCCAAAAAAAAAAAACTGAAAACATGACCCACATGTGTGTCACGGTATACATATTAGGTATCCAGATAATACATTTGACATACATGTGTCACAAAAAAAGTGCAAATTTAGTGTGACCCACGAATGTGTCAAGTGGACATTTTGGCAGGTACGTTAAAATTGTTAATGGCAGTCAACCTGTTGATATTATTTGAACTTTCATTCTACGATTATATCGTTATAATTAGGGCCCGGCAGTTTATGCACTAAAAAAACGAAATATGTATGCACTTATGCGCTTAAAAATCCTGATATATGCGCTTCAATATGCCCTTATTTTTTTTTTTTAACTTATAAATATGAGGAAAAAAAATTATTAGTTATGAATTTATGAGTAGGTACTACTCACGATTTTTATTTCAATTTCTTTGACTAGTAATTAAAAACATTATTTCTTAAATTAATATACATTTTTAAACATTACAATTTACAATCGACGATTTTGATAAATTCTCAAATCTGAACAACCACCTGTTATCTGCCAACATATTTTTGTACACCAAAAAGCTCCGCTCCACATT